AGCTTTGCTTCATGCAGCTGACAGCCCCTCCCAACCAGAAGCAAGAGATGTAAGTTCAAACCCTGCCTCATCTTTGCTTGCCTCCCTACTGGCTGGCTTGGCCTCAATGGGTCCTTAGTTTCAGGCTCTTCCTGGACACTTGTGGAGCTGTCCCTGGCTCCTAAATTCCTATATTTATATAACCAACACTTTGTAGTTCTTTTAAATGCTTCTTACATGTTGCCTTATTTAAAATCTCAACAGGCTCCCCGAGAAATAGACAGAGATCCTCCCTCTTGGCAAGCAGGGGAACTGAGGCACAGAGAGCTGAGCTGGCTTACCCAGGACATCTCACTGGTGGTTGCTTGATCAGTTTTTGTTGCTGTGACAAAAATACCTGAGCCAATTAACTTAAGGGAAGAAGGATTTCCTTTGGTTCTGAGTACTGGAGGTTTCAGTCCATGATTAGCTGGCTCTCTTCTTCTTAGGCTCATGGCAAGGTAAAAACACCATGGAAGAAGGGCATGATAGGAAAACTTCATATCTCGTGGCAGCCAGAAAGAGAGGGAACACACAAAGATGAGGTATGGCTTTCAATCACACATCCCTGCTGGCCTGCTTTCGCTGGGCCCCACCTCCTCCTTTCCACCCCCTCCCAGTAATCCCATCAAACCATGAACCTATTACGAGATTAATCCACTGATGGGGTCAGAGCCCTCATGATCCAGTGCCTTTACAAAAGCCACACACACACACACACACACACACACACACACACACACACACACACACACACACACTGAACATTGCACTCAATGTATGTTTGTGGTGACATTTTCTATCTAAACTATAACAATGATTGTGACAGTTAACTTTTTGGGGTGAGATGGGGATTGAACCTGGGCCTTGCATATACCAACAGGTATTCTTATTATGGTTAATCCTGTGTGCGTGTGTGCATGCATGTGTGCATGTGTATGTGTGCATGTGCATGTGTGTGCAGATACACATGTGTGTGGATGCAAGTCCACTTGTGGAAGCCAGAGGACAAACCCATATTCTTCCTCAGGTGCCATCCATCTTTTTTTTTCCTAGACAGGGTCTCTCACTGGCATAGAGCTTGCCAAGTAGGCTAGTCTGGCTCGCCAGTGAGCCCTAGGGATCCACTTGTCTCTCTCTCTGTTGCTGGGATCATAAGAGTGCATGCACCACCACAGCTGGCCTTTTTTGTTGTTCTTGTTGTTCAGTGTTCTGGGACTCTAAGTGGGGTCCTTATGCTTTCAAGACTCACATGTTAACAACATCCCTTCTTCAGGCTCTACACCCCCAGTTTAGCTTTTGTAGCCAGGTTAAAAAAAATCTGTTTCAGATGGATGCTATCTGATGGCTCCAGAATTATTTCTAAGATCATCAGCTCACAGTGTTAAAGGACCGCCTTTTCAAAGGACCAGAATTAAAACAACATAAATGTCTCATCTTGTCAGAAACCCCGAGATATTTGACATCTACTATCTCTCCTGAGCAAGAAACATTTTCAACAGAAAAGGATAAAAGGTCAGAGTAGGTAAATGAAGCTCAACTCCCAAGCAATCCAAAATAGAAAGCTCAAGTCCCAAATTATTAAAAAATAATTTTTATTTCATCCAACGCAAAGCTAAACCTCATTCTACAATGCAAAATGTGTTGTAGAGGCAAGACATCTAACTGCATTCACTCTGTGCTTACACACAAGTCAGTGGTGGGCATGTGCATATTGGGGCCTCCCAGAGGCACCATGGGCTCCCACAGCCCATCACTATATTGTTTGATCTATAAAGTTAAATAGGAAAATTGACTATGGGTACTGCCATCCAAGCCAGAGGAATAAACCATGCATAAGATAGTCAAAAGCACTGTATAGCCAGTGGGAGATGGGAGAGCAGGGACTCCAACCTGGGACAAAATAAAGTGCACAAGCTAGAGGATTTCCCCACAAGTCCTTCTCAGCATCCCTGCCCCAGCCCTCCAATGGTAGTCATCTGTCAATGGAGTCACCCAGTGGAATCCAGAAGCATAACTGTTCATTTCTGTCGCTTACTTCCTCAGTCTCCAGCTCACGCTGCTGAAGGTACAGAGCCCTCCCCCTACCCCATCTCGCATCACCTCTTGCATGCACAGCCCACCCTCTTCAGTCACACCTCTGCAGACTGACCAGGCACATCTTTCCACACACCACAACCACTCCACATGAGTGCAGCATCCAAAGGATGCTCTTGCCTCCCCAGTGTCCCAAAAGCTGGTCAGCCAGATGTGTGAAATTCTGCACACCCCTCCCCCTTCCATCCCTCTCTCCCGCCCTCCAGCACTGCAGGTTGGTTCCAGATGCCTTCTTCTCTATTTCTGTACAGAGGGATCTGAGCCCTCGAATGCAGATGTATATTTAGAGGTCAAGGATGAGAGACGTGTGCCTCTTCTTTGGTCTCACTGACATTACGGTCAGCACAACTGCATCGGTTCAGGTTCACCAAAGTCAACCGCATAAGAAATTCTGTAGCCCAGTGGTGTGGGGAACACCCTCAGCAACCCTGAGATCACTGTTGAAAACTTGCCTGCATGAGGGTCTGGCTGGGGGAAATGGCTTTGCAAGTATACATTCCAGTGCAATCCGTGGCGATGTCTGCACACGCATGAAGCTAACACTAGGACCGGACATTCTTTGTTAAGAGGATTGTTTTGTGCTCTTAATCCCTATCCATTAGATGCCAGGAGTATCACAGGCGTTAGGATAACAACAATAAAAAATTACCACCGTACTCCCAGTCATTGTCATCAAAAAACAAGTGCTATTGACAAGATGATCTACACATCAGTCAGAGTCACGGTTCCTATGGTTACAAAGGGAAGAGGAAGAGTGTGCATGTTAGAGGAAGGGTGTGTGTGGGTTACAGGGATGAGGACAAGCCAGACATGGAACACAGTCTCCAGCTATAAGTGTTGTTTCCCAATGCCTTTCCAAGTCAAGAGAGAACAAAACAATTCACCAAGCCTCACGACAGTCCTGTGAGGTAGGTATTACTTCACCCTTTGGGTAGATGGGAGAAGCTACAAGGGCCACCTGTAAGTCGACAGTGACAGGAAGAGGACAGGGTGACACCCTTCCTCTCTCATTCTATATGCCTTGGTTTCCTCTCAAGAAATCCAGAAGAGCCCACAGTACTTTGCCTCCTCCAATGTTGGGGAAGAAAGCAGTTTTACATGAAGGCAGCTGGAAGTTTCCTGAATGGCTGGAGGCTCTGTTGCCATGTTTGCTCTCAGAGCCAGGCTACTCTGAGCAGGGTGTGGGTTCACACCTGTCATTTCAGCCCTGGGGCGATGGAGGCAGAAGATCAGGAGTTCAAGGCCAGTCTTGGCTATGTAGGAAGTTGGAGGCCAGTGGGCTACATGAGACTCTGTCTCAAATAAATAAATAAGTAAAAAGCAGAAGGGCAACTTTTGCCCCAACCCACAAAGGGTTCTGGGTAAAGAGGGTCAGGAGGAGAAAAGGCAAGGACCTATAAGCTCCTTGACTTGGGCAAGAGACACTAGCCACAGCCACAGGCACTCTACAGGACCTATGGTTCCTTAGACTCTTACTTCCACTTTGGGGTTAGCCTTCAGCTACTCCTGGGCAGAGCCTGTAGTGGTCCTTACACTCCCTTGAAAGAGGACTGGCCTTCATCTTCTGGGGCCCGAAGAGTATCAGAGGACCAGGAAGAGGGAGTTGGGGCGCCTTGTTATCACATCTTATATATTACAAGGACCCCACAATCAAAACCATCTGAAGGCCCCACATCTGATGTCATCCCATCCCCATGAGACACCCCACAGGTATCTCCAAGACTGCCACCAGCCATTGTTAACACAACTCCAGCTTCATGGCCTCCTCCATGACCTTGGGGAAGGGAGCTGGGGAGCCCCACCATTGTTACAACAGGCTGTGCAATTAAGTCAGGAAGTATTAGCCAAAGGAAAATGGGGTAAGAACCAGGACTCAGAGAACTAAGGCACAATCCAGCCCCACACTCGAGGGGTGTGCAAACCAGCTATGCAGGAAGTAGAGAGAAGGCCTAAGTACCCTCTCCCTGATCCTCTTCCACCTCAGGCTGGGAGAAGAGTTGGCCCAGCTGGGCATAAAGCAGCTGGAAAAGCCAAGGACCTTCTCATCTGGAAACAAAGGTCCCTGAGGCAAAGGTAGACCCAGGGCTGGGGGTGGACGAACCTGGGGGCAGGGAAAGACCAGGCATGCTGGAGGGACACAGGAGTAGTAAAGCTATGGGATGGAAGGTCCTAGGAAACCATCCCTCAAGTAAGGTGGCAATACCAGCTGCTTCAAGAGAAAGGGAGAAGTGGGGAAGACTGAGCTCCAGGAGTGCGGGGTGGCATGGTCCTGCCACGCCAACGATAAGGAGGGCTGTTAGTTGTATAGGGCTGGGAGGTTGGAGAAACCCAAAGAGCAAAGCTAAAAAACGATGCATATAGCACCCCAGTGCTCCAGAAAGGATGGAGGGCCTCCCCATGAGCCTCCTTTGCAGCTGCAGCCCAGAAAGCGAAGACAGGCTAGGTAGACTGGGGTACTTGAAGTCCTGGGCCTCCCTGGGGGAGGGAGGAGTCTACAAATGCAGAGCAGGAGGCTGGACAGAGAGCTGGGACAGTATGGGCAGGCATTCCAGGGTGGGGGGAAAGAGAAGCCCCCTCTGAAGGAATGTCCAGAAGCCTGATATCCTTCAAAGCCCAGCTTGTACCTCAGAACTAGCCCCACCTCCAGCAGACTCCACCCAGAATTCTGGCACATTCCCAGCATCTCAATTGCTCATCCTCCATCCATCTCTGAACCCTAGCTTTTGGAGCAGCCTTCTGATCATCCCAATTTCCTGGTGAATGATCAGGAGGAAAAGTGAGAAGAAAGTGAGGGCTCACAGAGGCGGGAAATCTAAAAGAGACCCCATTTTCCCAGGTGCCTGGGACCAACCCTTCCACATCTCTCCAGCCCCTCCTTTCTCTTCAACCTCCATAGGCTTCTTTCCCCAGCCAGCCCTTGCCCCCGGGAAGCCCTGGCTGTGGGGAGAATGGTAGCTCAGGCTGAGCAGGACAGGATCAGGTCCTTCCTGCTCAGAGAGACTACAGTTGGGGCCAAGCAGCACACATCTCAGTAGGTGGGTCTGCAGACAGGACTCGGGCCTCGGTGTCACCATCTGAAAGTGAGGCTCCCTGCACTGCTTGGCCCGGAGCAGGGCCTCACACTTTTGTGGGTGGCTTTTCTTCTGCCTTGGAGCCAGGCAGTCCATTTTCTGTGTTGTCATTCCCAGAGGAACTCACAAGACACTCCTTCCTGGGGGTGCGGAGGGGGGGGGGGAAGAAGAGACACTGGTGAGAGGCAGGAGGAATTATGGGGTGGGTGTGCAGCTCCCCAGCTCCCCGTATCCAGTCCTGTGCCCTCTCCCTGGTCTTTTCTTTTCTTTTCTTTTTTTTTTTTTTTTTTTTTTTTTTTTTCTGTTCCAGGGCAGCCCACCTCATCACTAGTCTTTTCTAGAACACAGCTTTTTAATGCCTTTTCCCTCCAGACACTTTTCTGCTTCTAATGCTTTTTCTTTCTCTGGCTTTGCAAGATCCCTCACCTGCTGCTTTAAAACCAGCCTGACCTGTTCCAGAAAACTCTGTGTCTGGGCTCACACCCACTATACTTGCCCATTTTTCTCTTCCAGTGGAAGTGCAAGACCTCACACAAGCTGGGCTATACCGCTTAGCTACATCCCTGTCCCTCCATGTCTATTTTTACAACTGAACTTACACTGGGATTTCCTGGGAGGCCATATCATCATTTCAGATTTTAGTGTAGCTTAGTTTAGTTTATCTCTGGCTTTTGAAACAAGAGTGCAGACTAGGCTGGCCTTGAACTCAAGGGGATCCTTCTAAGCCTGACTCTCAACTATTGAGATTGTGGACACAAGCCACCATGCTTGGCTGTAAGGCCTTGTTTCTGCCTCTCCCATTTGAATTCTCGGAATTTTCATCTTCCTAAAGGAGTCTTTCCATTCTAGAGTTTCTATACATGAACTCACATTTTCTCTGAAATCTGAAGTCTAACTCAGAAAATAAGTAGGCTTCCTAAAGCCTATGGTAGGCTTTGGGGCAAGTGGTACAAACCACAAGAGTGAGGCTGATAGGACATGGGGATAAAGAGGGCTGCGTGGGGAAGAGCTGGTGGAGGGAGGTCGGGAGAGGGGGAGTGATGGGGAGTCAACTCACTTCTTCTCTCGGGTCTTCTTGAGGATGAAGGTGATGAGCTTCTTCAACAGCAGGATGAAGACCAGAAGTCCAATGACCCCGCCCACCACAGCCAGGATGATGAGTGTCACCGTGTTGTCCACTTCTTCCACTGGAGGAGGGGCAGAGTAGGGAGGGAAGAATTGTGTGAAAGCCATCACACACAGTCCAAAACCGGCAACTCTACCTCCAGGCCATGACCCTCTCAGGTCAACCAAGACAGATGAGGCCAGAACATAATGGTGGTGCCTTTCTGGCTAAGCACACGCACCACAGGGCCTGTTCCCTTCGCCCTTCCCAGCACCTCTTCCCACTGGGGGATAAATCAGAATGAGACCCACAGCTCCCAGCTTCAGGTCACAAACTCACTTCTCAGCTGCCTCTGCTCCCTCTCCTGCTACCTTCAGACAACCACTTTCCCTGCAAAGCCTCCCTAGCCACCTGGCTTCCCCTGTTGCTTTATCTTATCTATGTAGCAATACCACTCTTTTTAAAATTGCATTGCTCCCTCGGCTGAGGGGTGGAGCAAAGCTCCCATCCTGGTCACACTGGACCCTCAGCATCCTGACTCACCCCCGAATCACATAAAATGATGGCTGAAAAACTCTATACAGAGACAATAGCCACATGTGAGGAGCCACTGAGCTAAGATCTGGTACCCAGAAACACTGCCATTGTTGGTCCCCTTCCCATCTCCTCCTGCAAAGGTCAAGTTCACAGCAGGAATCTAAACATACAGAAGAGGTGACATTATTTGCAGATGTGACCCCAGACTCAGGAAAGACTGCCTGGATGACCTCAGGCTCTGCCCTTGGGATCTCCAGGGGCTTCTAGAGTAGATGGGGACATGTAGAAGACATTATCTTCCAGGATCCTCAGCTGCAAGGTGCCCAGCTGCAAGGTGAGGCACTTATTTATCCCATTTTGCTTCTCTACCACCTCCATGGACTAGAGGCATGTGGCTATCTGATCCTTGTTTTCAGTACCTTCACTGTATCCAATCCCTTAGGGGAAGGACCACACCCCATTCTATCTCTCTGGGACTCATTTGTACTGCTGCTATCTATTTGGGGCTACCTATATTCTCACCTAACTCTGAACTACACACTCCTCAAAAAAAGAATTTGGTGTACTAGTCAGAGCATCTTTTACTACAACACCTGGCAGCCTTCCAACACTTGCTAATGCATTACACAGAGGAGCAAAAATCACCTACATGGAGAGAGCCTAATGCCACCAAACACTCCCAGCCAGCGCCTCTGGTCTTCACAGCCACCGTGGCAGAAGGCCTAGTCCATTTTATAGACTAGGAAATCAAGGCTCAAAGATGCTGAGTGCTATTCCCAAACCACTCCACAGCTGGATTTTTTTTTCTTCCATATGTAACCTTGCAAGTGTACAGAGAAGAAAATCACCAGCATGGCCCATTTTGCCATTTCCTTCCTACCTACCACCCTCAGCCCTGCCCCACTACACACATTTATCAACCACTTGGAGGAAGATAGTGGCAGAGTTGTTCAAGTCCTTCTCTTTGGGGTTCCTCACAAAGCAGGTGTATTTGCCTGTGTCACTGAACTCCAGGTCACTCAGCAAGATGGAGATATTATTCATCTTCTCCTTGGTGGAGCCCTCCAGGGTGATTCGGTCATCATCTTTCACCCTCACCTTGGGGTCAGACTTCTCATTCTTCACAATGCCATCTATGAGCTGGACAGGAAATGATCAGAGTTGTCAGATGTAAACACACACACACACACACATCTCTCTGCACATCCACCCAGTCTTTACTTGCACTGTACCCTCCACCCCACTGAATCTTGTCTTTCAGTAAGGGCCTGGATTAATGCCACAGCTCTTCCCATCAGCACCCTCTAAGTCTGCACTCTTGGGGCTTCCCCAGTTACTCTGGGAGAAGAACCCCTTGCCAGGCTTCAAAGAACTCCATCCAGATCTGTGATCGACTAATCCTTTCTGGCTCCCTCTCCTGTCTTTCCAAACACAGCCCTCTGCCATGGCTCTTTCCAACAGCTTTTTTTTTCCTGGTTGCTAAACTATTAAATTCTCTGCAAATACACAAGTTGCAGGTTTTCCTTAGGACAGGACAACAAAGTCTAGCCAAAATCACTAACAGCCCCCAGATTCTGGCATGGACAATCCTCCTGCCTGGACTCTGGGAGAAAGAACAACAAATGGTGGGTTCTTGGGATCATCATGGTGGAGCTTATCCAGAACGGACCGGATCCTGGGTTTGAAGGCTTCCAGACAAAGGGGGGGGGGGGGGACATGAGCACCTCACTTACAATCCTGTATGTATCGCTGTTATTGTAGGACCACCTGAAGTAAAGATTCTCGAAGCCAAAACAGCTGGAAAAGGTGCAGGGCAGCAGGATCGCCGAGCCGTTGATAGCATAGATGGTGGTGGCCTTTCCCACAGACACCTCCAACGACATGGACATAGGGAGCAGAAAGAGACCTGTACAAAGGACACGGCCTCTCTTAATACAATCCCACGGGAAGCTCTTTAATGGAGCTCTCAGGCATGGCAGAGTGGCTTTGCCAGGCAAAGAGGTCTTTGGCATCCTCGGGAGAAAAGGTGGTTCTCTACAGTATCTGCACGGAATTTTAACATCCACTTGGCCTGAATAGAAGTGAATTCTGAGCCTCTTAGTGGTCCATGTGGTACTCAGAATGACCACGAGGGGTCACCCCAACCCAATAAAAAGAGGGTAAAGAGGGTCTGATGGCCTTTTTTTTTTCCCCCCTCCCCTGTACTGGAACCTTATGACTTCACCCCTTCACCTGGGTCCTGAGGTAAACAAGCGCTGATAATGGCCAGGGAGGCGCTGGAACTCCCTTTCGCCTGTTGGGGCGGGAAGGTAGCCTTCCCTAGATCGGAGCACACCCCTGGTGACGTTTGGGAGTGGAAAGAGGCAACCGCAGCAATCCCCGCACTGGAGCTAGATGCCCAGAGACACTTTAGGGATGGACATTGTCTGGCTAGTGAGTTCAACGCCTCCAAACACTCAAGGGGATCCGAAAAGAGAAAGACGACGACCTGCCCGCCGTGGTAAAACCGTGGCCGTGGAGAACACAGACTGCTAGCGCGAGGACGCACGATGGAGCAGGCAGAGAGGGACTCTCTGCAAAGGCCATTCGAATCAATTGAGGGCACGCTGCAGGGTACCAGACCTCGCGGTGACCAGTCCCCTCCCGACTCGGTGAAGCGCGGGTCCTTCCCATCACTCCTTAGCCACTCTCTGCACCCTGGTTCCAAGAACCACAGTGACACACTCGCAGCCTCCCAACTCCCTCCACAGGACATTCCTTTGCCCACCCCACCCCACCCCCCACACACACACACACAACCCACGCAGGACATCCCTCTGCCCCCACACACACCCCCACTGCAGGACATCCCTCTGCCCCCCCCACACACACACCACAGGACATCCCTCTGCCCCCACACCCCCCCCACCGCAGGACATCCCTCTGCCCCCCCCCACACACACACACCAACACACACACACCTACTGCAGTACATTCCTCTGCCCCAAGAGACATTGCCTTCCTCCTAAGGACTATCTAATCCTCCTCCTTCCTGCACATTCCTCCAGGAAACTCCACTGCCTCAAGGTCGTTCCAGGGAAGAATATCCACAACAACAGAACCCTTACCTTTCCTTGCTTGTAGAGGAAAGGAGCACTCACTCCCATCTCAATTCTCAGGAAAATCCTTTGTTTTCTAACTAAATTCCCTCGTGCTGCATCATAAGTCTGTTTCCTTGTGTTTTGACACAAGCGGTAATGGCCATACTAGTAAATGACTGAGGAGCTCAGAGGAGTGCTGGTGGCCCTGTTCCTGCTCTCAAGGATCCCTTCACCTTCCTTGTGTCCCCTTTGCTTCTAGCTGCTCCTCCCCACCACACCCCATACCCCACACACTCCCTGACACACACACACACACACACTCCAAATCAGAAATTGCACCCTATGGCCCAGTAACCCAGTCCTGACTTCAGCCACAGTCAGTGATGACCACAGAGCAGATATTCATGAAGCATTTACTGTATGCCTGGCGCCTTTCAGCCTTCTGCTACCCCATCACGTCTAGGATTATAGATCACACTGGAGAGGAAACTAAGCCTAGAGAAGTCAGCGATTCCATTAAGGTCAAGGAGGGAAATGGTTCCAGCATCTCATGCTCCCAAAGCCAGGAAAATCCTGCACACATCCTAAAATAGGTGCATTTGCCCACTGTGGCTCCAGCTCTTGCTAGATTACTTCAATCAGCAATTCTGTGTGTGTGTGTGTGTGTGTGTGTGTGTGTGTGTGTGTGTGTGTGTGTGTGACACACACACACACACTGGCTCATGCAATGGTTTTCCATGCTGAGAGACAGACATTAGAACCAGCTGGGGACAGGCACAGGCAGGTGTGGGTTGGCCCCTGGAGCTACTGACTATATGAGTCTTCAGAGCTGGCCTCTTTCTGTAACTCCCAGGGAACAGTGTGGGTGCAGACCACAATTTGAAAATGACTATGCTAGAGGGCTCCCACACAGCCACCCCCATTTCTAATAGGACACTAAATGGCAAGTATGCTTTTTCTCGTTTGACAAATGATGAAATTGAGGCTCAGAGGGGTGAAGTGATTTTCCCAGCAGCCACATAGTGAATGTCCTCCTTGGAGCTTAGGACCTACTGTGTGATAGGATGGGTATATTTCATGGACTTCGCACATTTCATCCTTAGCCTATGAAGGTATTATTCCTTTAATTTCCAATAAATGTCTCAAAGAAATAAACATATGAAAGCCACATACCCAGGAAGTAAGTAGGCAGCTCTCAGAAATAGATCTGTTCTCTCCCATCCAGAAGAACCATTCTGATGGGGGTCAGTGCTCCCTGGAGTGCCTGGTTCTTTTTTTATCTCTGCTGTCCTCTACCCCAGCTCTCCCCTAGGTCTAGGAACAGAAGCAGTCATAGCTGTCCACTAGAAGCAGCACTAGAGGATGGGAGCCTAAAGCTCTGCTTTCCATGTCCCCATAACCCCTAAACCCAGAACCAAGATGCAGAGCAGAAGACAGGGAAGCATGTGCTGGCCAGATGGCTCAGTGAGCAACAGTGATTGCCATGTAAACATGAGGATCTGAGTGTAGCATGAAGCATCCATAATTCCAGTGCTAGTACGGGGAGATGGATGACAGAGATAGGAGGATTTCTGCAAGGTTGTAAACCTGCTAGCCTGGTATACTCAGCCAGAAAATAACAGAGATATCCTGTCTCAAATGAGGTAGAAGGCGAGGGCCAAGGGTGTCCTCCGACATCCATGTACACACTGCTGCACACCCACATGCACACATGAAAACATAAACACACCCTTACAGTTATAAAGAAAAAAGAAGATTCCTAAACTAGATGTGATGGCTCACACACTCATCAGTGGCAGGAGGGTTGCTGCAGGGTAAGACTGTCTCAAAAAAAATAAAAGAAGGGAGGGAGGGGAGGAAAGAGTGAGGAAGGAAGGAAAGAGGGAGAAAGTTGGGAGGGAGGGAGGGAGGGAGGGAGGGAGGGAGGGAGGGAGGGAACAAGCTTTCTAGTGATGACTGGGGAATCCCAAATGGGGTCCTGATGAAGACAAGGGACTCATCTCAAAAGCCAAATTCCTCCCTCCAACCCCAGCTCAAATGAACAATTGCAGAGTACAGAAGCACGTCAAAGGAGGAATGGTCATTTGTTTGTTGTTGAGATAGAGTCTCAGAGGCCAGACTAGAACTTGCTCTGCAACCAAGGCTGACTTTGAACTTCTCATCTACCTCCACCTCCTGAGGTGCCTGGATTACAAGCATGTGCCTCCGTTCCTGGTTTGAGACAATGCTTTAAATAGACAGAAGCAGAAAGAGCACACTACAAGTTCAGAAGGAGGGACAGTATTTCTTTAAGTTCTGGCTCACTGCACAGTACACATTTCTGCCTGATGCGGATGACTTAACTCTATCCAATATGCTCAGGACTCCAAGTGAAGCACACCCATGTCCTTGCTCTTCTGGAGAGGATGAAAGAAACAGGCAGAGATAGATTCCACAGAGGCATCCCTGTCCAGGTTGAAGCCTGGGAAATAGCGGGCAAACCTGGCTGCTTCTACGACACAGAGCCCATCCAGCCAGGCATGAGCAAAGCCTGTCAGCTGTGTCTGGAAGGTTGGTGCACAAGCTCATGCGATGCTGAGCTCAGGGAGGAGCGTGGGTCAGGATCCACTAACAGGCCCCTGGAGGGCTACTTAAGCAGGCTGGCCTAAGCTGGAGTGGTCAGCAGGCTCCAGGCAGGCCCCAGTTTGCCTGCTGACCTTGACAAAGTCAGGTCCAGCACACTCATCCGCATCCCTAGAGCAGTCCAGGAAGAGCTGTAAACCTGTCTACTTCCCAAGCTTGGCAGGGAGCCAAAACATGAGGCTATAAAACACAGAGACTTCAGTAAGGGAGCACCCTAGGGGAGAAGACACTGTTTATAAGGGGTGAGGGGGACAGGGCTGTCCCCATAGAGTATTGGATTTAACCAGGGCGCCACTAGTTTCTCTTAAAGACCACTGTCGTCAGCCAAGACTGTCTCCAGGCTACTCATACATTGATTTGTTTCTTCACCCTCTACCACATCTTGGGTAATTTCCATGTGGCTATTTCCCTAAGTAAAGAACTTTCTTGCTTTGCCCAAAAGTTACCTCTTTAGAATACCAGCACAGGTGTGGATATGTCTGCCAGTCGGGCCTCTTTCTGGCACCATGGGATCAATGAAGTCTCCTCTGTCAGAGTCCTGTGGATTCTCACAACCTGGCTTTTCCTAAGTCATTTAGCCACTCTCAGCAGCCACCTTCACAAGTTCCTAGCTCCTGCCACCCTGCTGGGAATTTGTCCAGGGAGAAAGACAGACTTGGGATTCACAAGTTGTACCAAAGTTTTTGGAAAGTATTTAGGGCTATGGGCATGACTGAGTAGGGGAAGTGCTTACTAGAAAGCGTGAGATCAATTCCCTGAAAACTTGTTTTTAAAAAATGGGTATGGTGGCAATGGAGTACTACTCAGAGGGGAGGGGGGGAACAATGGAATCTTGAAATTCACAGGCAAATGGATGGAACTAGAAGAAACCATCCTGAGTGAGGTAACCCAGTCACAAAAAGACAAACATGGTATGTACTCACTCATATATGGATTTTAGACATAGAGCAAAGGATCACCAGCCTACAATCCACACCACCAGAGAAGCTAGGAAACAAGGAGGACCCTAGGGGAGACATACATGGTCCCTCAGAGAAGGGGAAAGGGAAAAGATCTCCTGAGCAAATTGGGAGCATGGGGGAGGGGAGAGGGGATTAGGAGAAAGAGAAGGGGAGAAGAGGAGGGTAGAGGAGGACATGAGGGAGCAGGAAGATTGAGTCAGGAAAAGAATAGAGGAGAGCAAGAAAAGAGACACCATAATAGAGGGAGCCATTATAGGTATAAAGAGAAATATGGCACTAGGGAACTGTCCAGAGACCTACAAGGATGACCCAACTAAGAATCTAAGCAATACTGGAGAAGCTACCTTAAATGCCCTTTCCCGATAATGAGATTGATGACTATCTTATATGCCATCCTAGAGCCTTCATCCAGTAGCTGATGGAAACAGAAGCAGACACCCACTGCTAAATACTGAGCTGAACTCCTGGAATCCAGTTGCAAAGAGGGAGGAGTGATGAGCAAAGGGGTCAAGACCAGACTGGAGAAACCCACAGAGATAGCTGACCTGAACAAGGGAGAGCTATTGGACTCCATTCTAATAACTGGGAAACCAGCATAGGACCAACCCAGACCCCCTGAACCTGAGTGTTTGTTAGGAGGACTGGGTAGTCTATAAGGCCTCTGGTAGTGGATCAGTATTTATCCCTAGTATAAGAATGGACTTTGGAGCCCATTCCCAAAAGGATACTCTCTCAGCCTAGACACACAGGGGAGGGCCTAGGCCCTGCTCCAAATGATATGATAGACTTTGAAGATCCCCCATGGAAGGCCTTACCCTCCTTGGGGAGCAGAAAGGGGATGGGATGGGCTTTGGGGGGGGGCAGGGGAGGAGGGGAGGGAGAAAGAACTGGGATTGACATGTAAAACAAGTTTGTTTCAAATTTATTTTTTTTAAAAAAGGGAAAAATAGGTATGGTGGCATGGGTTTGTAATTCCAGAACTGAGAAGGTAGAAACAGGAACATGTCTTGGGCTCACTGGCCAGATAGCCTTGCTACTCATCCAGAAGCTCCAGGTCAAATGACAGACCCTGTGTTGCCTGAGGAATTGCAACCAGGGTTAACTCCTGGCCTCCACACACATACCTGCACACATGTGTCCACACATATGGCTATCCTATTAAATATTCACAGCAGCAGGAATCTGATGGCTATTAGCAGGCATTGTGGGGTTGATACCAGGCTGGGAACATTCATTCCATCATCTTTTCCCATATCCAGAGATCAGTCACATCCAGGCAGGGTAGGGGGCAAAAGGAAGGGCAGGAGAGTGCCTGCTCTAAGTTTAGCTCCAAGGACTTTCGGGGCATGGCAAGCAGAGGCTCAGCTGGGACTCTCTGGCCCCAGGGAGGAAGAATGGCTCAGAGTTAGAGCTTGAAGGAAGAAAGTGGGCCGGCTGAGGGCAGTGAGACAAGGACCCTCCTGGGAGAGAGGCCTCAAGGGTCTGGGGAAGCAGAGCTGGGCCAGGCAAGGCTCCTGGGCCCTATGGTAAAGGAAAGATTCTGCGCCCTCACCCTAGGCAACCTACCTGCCTGCTTCCTGCCCACCCCCAGGAGCTTTGCTAGGATAGAAGCATGCCCCTGAGACAGCACAGATCAAGGAAACCAGCTTCACAAACAAATCCAAACAGTGGGTCGGTCTGTTCCTTTTCCTAGAGGCCACCTGGGCAGTGGTATTGGCCCATGGCATTCATGGCTACAGGGCAAGGTGATTCCTCCAAGAGGTAGTCAGTCACAGGGTTTAGGGATCCAGCATTGCCTGTTCCCCAAAGCCTGCTTCTGAAGATTCCGAGGGTTAATTGTCTTTTCCAGATACAGGCTGCCCCCTGCCCCCACCCCTCTTCCCCTCTTCTCCAGGATCTCCCAGCTTAGCCTTGCTGGTTTCTTCCCCTGAATGGGACTCAACAGCCTCTCCTTAATTGTGCACTCATTAAACAAGCCCTTAATAAATACATACCAGGGGAGAGAGGGTTGTGCAACACAGCACCCTCACAAGTGATAATTAAACACAGATCATGGCAATTAAGCAAATCAGGGAACAAGGAAGGGGTGGGCTGAACAACACACTACCAGTTACATACTTAGGAAAAGACTGGAACCCATATAAACCTCAGTTGCAGCAATATGGCCTTGCCAGCCACTTCATGGGTTCAGAAAAGGCTGTCTCGTTTGTGTTACTGAACACTACTGGGGTCTCTGGCCATGGAACTGAATTGATATGGATAGGGTGGGAGAACTTCTGGAACAGGCTTCCCAGCTGTGAAAACAAAGCTCTAATCACTGCTCAAGCCCATAGCTTCCACGCTGCTCACTCTCAAGTCCAGACACTGACCTTCCCTTTCACCACCTGGCCTGGATTCTGTCCCACTTGACCATCAGTCAGTCATGTTACTTGAGCAGGTTACTATCCTCTCTAGACCACACCTTCCTCACTTTTTGGAAAGCTCTATGCTATGGTTTTCAAAGTCCCTGCCCACTCATACCAAAGCTCTGCCCTGCTCTCTACTCATCCCACCCCACCCCCAGTTCCCAGAGCCCTGTGGTCTACAGAAACCTGGTTCTATGAATATTCTACTAGAACAAGGACTGGCACTCCCTTGGCCAACCAAACACAGGGTAAGGAAATCTATGACATACAGTGACTGGTTTAATGAGTGGAGTTTGGGTGCCTCGGGGACCCCTCACCCCTACCATGGCCACAGGGGAGTCCTAGGATGATCCAAGTGGGAACTCCCATGGACGTCACTATACCCATCCCACAAAGAGGAGCCTTGGGTGTTAAAGAGTCACCATGAAACCCACGTAACACCTGTGTCAATGATACACAGGACAAAATGCCAACATCTTAAATCTGGTCTCTGGGAGTTGAGTAAACCAGAGCTCAGGAACAATAGAATGTTACCCCTCATCACCATCACAGCAGCACCTGACGCACACCCATAGGACATGACTGCACATGGTTCACAGGTGCAAGAGAGGTTTCTGTCCCCTGCTTCCACCACAAATCTCTCAACCATGTGCCTGACCCAATGGGGGTGGGGCCAGCTGTCAAACCCCAAATCTGACATATAGAAACAGGAAGAGGTGCAGGTGCTGTAGATGGTGCCCCCTTGCATTGGAAGCCAGGCTGTGATTTACATTCTTGCTAACAAATACCATTGCCTAATCTCTTGGATCTTGACACTCAAAATCATCATGTGAATATTAATAGATAGCCATAATATCCTATACCCTCTGTGTCCTCTGGATCTGACTCCTATCTCTTCAGTCTTCCCCATAATAAAGAGCCAGGAGCAGGCCAGACAGGTCTTCCTCCAAGAACCCCTTTACAGGAAGAGCCACCTTCTTAAGAGGTGGCTTTTGAATGGTCCTCTAGGTCCTTCCAAGCCCTTCCAGCATTTAACATAGAGTTGCAGCGATGCCAGAGAAGACAGAAGAGGGAAGAACCTAGCAAAGGATGGTGGTGGGGAGACCCTTGCCCCACCCCCACCCCCGGTGCATCTGCTGCCAGGGAAGCAAGCCAACAAATAGTTCCAGGCAAGAGTGGCAGACATCACTACACCTGCAACCCCTGGACCCTAACACTCAAGGCAGTAGACCCTTCCACCAGCATGCCTGAACTCCCGGGATTTAGGAGTCCCCTGCTGCAGTTCCAACACCTGGCTCCAAAAGGCACCAGAGTGAGCAAGGAACTCTGCCAGGATGGTTGTGGGGGAGGGAGGGTTACACAGGGTTCCCAGGGAATCTAGTATCAAAGCTAAGCGTCCAGAAGGAAGATGGTCATCCACTCATTTGGTGCCACCTTATCTAAGGCACCCCTCTTCTCCAGTGTCCCCTCCTTCAGAGTGCGGTGGGGGTAAGAAAGAGGCGAGAGAAAAGACAAAGTTGGGACTGTCTTACCCAAAAGCCCAGTGCCCAGCCATCTCGCCAGGGTTTTGCCTCTGTCCCCAGCCCGGGACATGGTCCTGATCTCTCTGGAGCGCTCCGAGAGCTTGGGTTGAGATAGTGGGCACCCCGCGCTCTCCGCTCGAGGTCGGTTCTGGGCCCGGCAGCTGCCGGGGCGGGGGAGGGGGAGCTCCGCGCCGCGGGTCGGGCTCGGGAAAGTTAGCCACAAGAGAGCAAGGCGAGGGGGAGGACGACGAGGGGGAGGCGCGTCCACCCGCCTCTTGGAGCCCGCTGCGGGAGCCGGGGCTGGAGGGGAGGAGGAGCCAGAGCTGGAGGGAGGACGCCGGGGAGAGCGGCACTGCGATGCGCCTCTGCTCTGGATGCGCTCCAGCCGCAGGAGGGGCGGCGTCCCCGCCGGTTTCTCACGGTGACCGGAGCGCTGACGATCGTGGGGTCTAGCCTGGGCAGCCCTCTCTCTCTCCAGCCGGACGGGGATGTTGCGGCTTGGCACTGCAGGGCCGACCCGCAGCCGCCCGCATCATCCCATGCTCCGAGCTGCCAATTAGGAGAAGAGTTCACGGGGGAGTAGAGGTGGAGCTTTTAGGTTTGTTGGAAGGCTGTTTTGTTCAGCTCGGAGAACACGAGTAAGGGCAGCGGCTGCCTCTCTCTCGGGACCGCAAGGAGGACGTCCGCAGCGGACGCTGCCGCAGCGGGTGGGCGTGTGCCGGCTTGCCCGCTGCGGACTACCGGGTGCAGACCTGGACCCCTACGCGTCTCCTCCCACCAGGCCGCTCATTTGATCTGCGGGTGGCTTTTAGGCAGTGGGAAACTTGAGTTTCACCTGCAATATGCCCCTTCACACCGCCCACCAACCCTTTTTTGCAGACTCTGCATGTTAGAGGGCTAATGACGGATATTTGGAGACTGCGTGCCTCCCCCCCCAAGCTGGGCGTGGGGGGGTGGGGGGTAGGTAGTCATAAACACCAGGGATGCCCTCTCAAGACCCCTGTCAACTACCCAAACCTCCAGGACAAATCTTCGCTATCTGTATACCAGTTAAGCCTTAGAAACACTCCCTCTTTCCATGCTGCAGGCACACCACTACACCGGTCTTCAAAACTGGAGTCCCTGGTAGGCTTCAGTGCCATCAGAGACGCTTGAGGTTGTGTGCAGAATGTTAAATGTCTGCGGGGAGAACCCTGCTGTTTTCTTCTGCTTTGTCGTCCTCGTCAAGATAGTTGAACGGTTCTGATGTCTGCTTTTGCTATTGCAGAACTGTGAACAAGGCACACAACTTTCTGGAGAATTCTCTGCTACTCTGCCTAATGGTGACCCCCATGGTATTTACCTCCTGAGGTCATGCAAAACAGCATTATCCTCAACCCTGGGCAACAGGAGGACAGCCCTAGGCTCCTAGCTTTAGAGGACCTCATGCTGGCCCAATAGGGAACACACCTTTCAGTTTTAAATGGCTCTGGGGACCTAGGGGTCTGGAATGTCCTCTTCAGGATGTCTGAGTTGAGCTCTTCTCCAATCTGCCCTCCGAAATAAGGAGTGTGTTCATAGACCCAAAAAGTGGCCTACAGGTAGCAGTGTGGATAAGCTTGATGCACAAGTGGGTGGTTCCAGTGTGTATAGTAGAGTCTCTGTTGGTGCAGGACCATCCACAGAAGCAACACTAGGGAATAGTCTGAAAAATTCCATTTTGGACCCGAGGTTCTAGATCATCAAGGAAAAGCAGTCAAAGGCAGAGGATGGATTACTTGCTGTCCTGATTTTTTGTTGTCTTTGGTGTTGTTTTGTTTCTTGTTTTAGTTTTGGGTTTTTGTTGTTTGGAGTTTTGTTGTTGTTGTTTCGTTTGTTTGTTTTGAGACAGAATTTCTCTGTGTAGCCCTGTAGACCTGTGTTGTAGACCAGGCTGGCCTCTGACTCAAAGACCAACCTGCCTCTGCCTCCTGAGTATTGGAAATAAAGGTGTACACCACCACACCTGACTGATTATCCTGATTTAGAACCTACATTTAGACTTGTAGGCCTTTTGCACTTGTAATTCTGTAAGGAGTACGTTTTTCCGCCCTCGCCTGGTCTTGTCCTGCCGCCGCGCCGCCAGCCCCAAATAATACACAAAGACTCTGTATTTGATATTATGCTGTTGGCCAGGTGCTAGTTTATTATCGGCTAGCTCTGTCTTAATTATTAACCCATTTCTATGCATTTCCACGTGGTTTCACCTACTGGGGAGTGGGGCAGGCGCCTGGTCTCCCCATGCTGACCCCTCCTTACTACTTCCTCTTTCCTCCTTGTCTCCTACTCCCTCCTATCTTCCTTTCCTATTGGCCAACAGTGCTTAGTGTTTCCCATGTCCTCATTTTGCCAGGCTGGGTGTCCTGCTAGTGTTCAGAGAACAGTCAGGTGTGTGGCATGTGTAGAAACCAAACAGCAGGGAGGCACTGATCCTGGATTTACTTGTGATTTTGTAGGTGACCTTGGCCCACACACACACTCCTTCTCCGGCATCTCCCATCATAACTCTCCACAGGCTTTGCCAACATTAGAAGTGGAGCTGGATGGGAAGACTTGGAGACATAAAACATATGTTAACATGTTTGGCAGAGAGCTTGGCACACAGTAAACATACAACATGCCCAACTTCACAAAAGCCTGGGGCCCCAGAGGTAAAGCCATGTCCAGGAGAGGCTTGACCTTTGCTTACCCCAGGAGGTCCTTCCACTATGCACACAAGGCCAGGCATCCACGATGCCCATGTTATTTTTACAACAGGGTCATGTTTCTCAGAGCAGCAGGCTGAGGTGAGAGGAGGTGAACCAAAGGGAAAGAAAGTGACCCCTACCGGAAAACGGAGGGAAGGAGGAAGGGGGGAGGGGGGACAGAATTCCAGTGATATCTTTAGACCCTGGTGGCAGAAGAAGGTGACTAGTCCCCTGAGTGCCCCCCATCCCCTGATCTCTTAGTGTTCTCTGGATTCTTTAGCTGAGAGGGCCCCTGCCATGCCTTGCCCCCACACATGAAGACATGGGCCAGAGAAGGAGTGTGTGTGGGCCAAGGTCACCTACAAAATCACAAGTACATCCAGGATCAGTGCCTCCCTGCTGTTTGGTTTCTACACATGCCAACCCCTGACTGTTCTCTGAACACTAGCAGGACACCCAGCCTGGCAAAATGAGGACATGGGAAACACTAAGCAATGGTGGGCTAAGATGGTTTCACATCTACAAAACACTTCCCTGAGACACCTCAGAAAGGCAGTGCAGTAACAGAGCTAAGAGTTTCCTCTTGAGAAGGCCAAGGAGCAGGGCGCAGAAGGTCCTTTCCTTCTCCCTGCCCTTTAAAAACTCCTAAGAAGGCTCACCAGATCCACTCCTCTTTCCTGTCACAAGCCCCTAGCCCTGGGAGAGCAAATGAAATGTACTGCTCCATTCAGGGAGGCGGGTACTTGGAGACACAGCCCTAGAGGTGTCCCCTGGCCATCCTGATTCCTGGGAAAGGGTGACATGCACAAGTCTGGGTGGCTTGGCTCAAAATCCCTTGAAGTCTGCAGAACATTGAGATGGATTGGGCCAGAGCCCAAACAGCTGTCAGAGAATCATCCATTTCTCAAGCTGGCAGAGACAGCTGGGCTTAAGTGGAAGGAGGTACTTCCTTGGGAATTCAGGTAGGTTAGCCCCCAAATCCTATCAGACTAGACAACTAACTCAGCAGAAAGCCTATTTCCCTAAGCCTCTTGAGGGACTAGAATAGAGTTAAGGAGGAGAGGGGGCCCTATTTCTGGAACAGGGGAGCATCTAAGGGAGTCACCAAAAGAGGGGGCCAGATCATAGTAACAGGCCTCAGGGTGGTTCTGACTCCAGAAGATGCTCGCTTGTTCAGCCTTCTACAGGTGACCCTGGCCACTGGATGGAAGACCCCCTTCTCAGTCAGTTCCTAGCCAGTGGGTCAGGACCCTGCGCATGAAGAGCGAACCCAGGCATAGGATGAGGTCTCCAAGTCTATCTTGAGAGACTTTCTTCCAAAATTGCAGAAGCCTGGCAGGGTACTCGTTCCCCTCAATCTTCCCTATTGCCCTTGTTTACTGCCTACTGCTTCTCCTGCCTCCTCCCCCAGAAGCCTTTGCACACTCTTCTCCTCTCAGGACACTGCAGGTAACAGCGGGCACTTAAGGCACTGTCTGTGGGTTCTGCAGAGAGCTGGCCCTATACCTTCACCTTATGACTCCCTTCAGGCCTTGGATTCCTCCCAAGAGCTGCCTCTGCATCTTGCCTACCCTGGTCTCCCTCCACTTGTAAACAGGGCCCCAACTCAGTGCACCTACAAGCACCAGACTCTCTACCATTTGGATGGGGGCTTGGACTGATGCTGTCTGAACCAATGCTCTGGAGCCTCTTCCAAGAGTATCTCAGACTATGCTCAGCCCCTCCCCACTCACCCCTCCCTTGGCTCAGAGTAGCTGCCTTATTCTGCCACTCTCAGCATCCACAGAAGTTTGGCAGGTGCTGAGAGAGTTAACAAGACAGCATGCACCAAACCAGCCTGCAGGCACGTGGCTGAGCTGAACAGTCCAGCAAAGGATGCCGCATGGCCACCTCAGTTCAGGGCTCCAGGGGCATCAGTGAGTTGGTAGAAGGCTAAACTCACTCCAAGCTCCCCTCTGGAAGAGAATTCTCCCTTTCTTCTCACACACCTCCACTTCCTAGGGGCTCAGGGCATAGGCAGGTAAGCAGCCCCCCCCCCCTTTTCCTTGCTTTCTGCCAGGCTCTGTCCAAACACCCTTTCAGGCAAAGGGGGATGGGGAGCCCCAGACAGATGAGCAGATGAGCTCATTGGAAGGAGGAGGGCAGAGGGAAGAGGGACCAAACCATCCTGAGAAGTCTCTGCTGGCCGGACAGTCCCAAGTTGGAGAGGGGTGTGTGCCCACTTCTAGAAGCAGCTCAGAAATAGGTGAGTCCGGTGTATCTCTTTCTTGGGAACTACACTGGGTGGGAACTGAAGCCCCTGAGCAGAATCTTAGCCACCCTAACCAACACCCCAGAGCTGTATTTAACTCTCTTCCTGGGTCACAAAGTATCCTGCTCTCTTTTCAGTGGCCATGGGGACATCTGGAGGTTTGGGGAAGGTTTATTA